TGTCCTTTTAAACTTGTTGTGGCTAATGTGACCCATTCGTGCATGCCACAGCTCCCACTTGTTACCAGCGTCTTCATGTTCTACCAACATCGCGTGCTCATACTCCACATCAAGAGTGTACACGCTTCTCATGCGCTTCGCAGAAATCATCAACACATTATCCTTGTAGATACCGCAGTATTTTTCACCGAATCGAACGTTGTACCCACGCTGGACGATCTTGGGCACCGCTAGTAGTCGTCTGTCCAGCGTTGGAATGTGCAATACTTCATTCACAGTCACTGCTGTACCATTCGTACAGCGAAATCGAATGCTTCCTCGTCCAATTGCATTCATGACCGCACCATCGGCAACGCGAACTTGAATGGCTTCTCTCAATTTCTCGTACTCAAAGAAATCTTCTTCGGCTGGGGTCATATGTGACGAGGCGCCGCTGTCCAACAACCATCCTTTTTTTAATCCGTTTGTGGCCGTGAATGCCATTTCATTTCCATCATTCTTGGTGGCAGATCGGCACTCAAACTGCTTGTATCCGATCTTGTTACAGCGGTGACACTTCCCACGAAACGGCTGTTTCTTCTTCCAGCTCTCTTCTGCACCACGTTGTTTGCGCATTCCACGACCACGATCCTGTTTATGGCCTCCACGACCAACGCGGAAAGCTCCTTCGGAGACCTCTTGCTGCTGCTTCTTCTTGTGTTCTTTCAACAGCTTTTCTTTCACATCCACCATCGTCACACCCATGGAATTCTCAATGATGGACACAATCATCTCGTACTCTGCCGGTAAGCTACTCAGCAGAACTGTCATCTGGCGTGCGTCGTCCATGGTATCGCCCACCGCCTCCATACTCAAAACAAGTTCATCGAAGCGGTCGAGGTGGCTCACCATGTCGCCTCCCTCATCCATACGAAATTCGTGCAATCGACGTGTCAGTGCCACTCGATTCTGAAGGTTTGTCTTGTTGTAGTAGTCGCGTAGTGTTTCCCATACTTCCTTCGTAGTGCGAGCATGTCGGATCTTCGTCTGACGCTTTACTTCGATCCCTTGAGCAATAATAGCAAACGCCTTCATGTCCTTGACCTTCCAATCCTCCGTCATCTCCTGCTCCAACTTCACTTCCAAGATGTGCTCTAGCAGGCCCTTCCTCGCAAGTGTCATCTTCATATTGAATTCCCAATGGAAGTAGTTGTCTGTTCCAAGCAGGTCATCGTGTTTCTTCATCGTACTGGCTTCTGGCAGAGTTCCTTAAGCTTTTGGGCTCATAACCTGTTATGTCGAAGGAAAATTGGAAAGTGTATTGAATTAGTTTTCCTATGAACTTACTCGTCGTGTTATCTTCTTCTACCTTGTAGCTTTCCCTGATCTTGATGGATTCTAGAACATACACTCAAGGTAGTTCTAGAATCATCAGACTGCACGTGAACCGTTTACACCCTGTCGTATCATCGCTGTCTTGTCACTTGTGCGTAGCAAATCACAGTTGGCTTTGTTGACCGTGCATTGACAGTGCACACATCAACAGAAAGTAGATAACGCAGTCTCAAATTGAGCTTTGCAAATTTTTATGGACAGCATTTTTACCCGTTCCCTCACAATCTCTTCCTCATTGAACAATTTCATGCCATTACCGCACTTTGACGTTGTTGCTATTGCTTTTTGTTGCTTTCGCTGCACAGGCAAGATCGAATGTCGTCCTTACTCTCGTTGAACCTATTGACAACACGAACAAGTTGCGTCATCACACGACAACCTCCAGCCGTGAGTGTCATTTTTTTGAAACAGGTACGTGACTATCCAATACTAATATGCTTCCGATGCGGCAATGTTCACAAACTGCTAGCAAATCATCGCATTTGCGCCATCCAAGTACGTCAAGTCCGTCTTATTCGTATTATTGCATGTCAGTTCTCAACAAAAGTGTCAAGTAAGGATTGGACAGCCAAATCGTACAATAGAGCTTCACGGCAACTATATCGACTTAACGGGACATCGACTTTCTTGCGTAGATTAGTTTATAATGTTGTAGACGACTCTGACCATTTTGCCTGTGCAAAGCGCTTCTCCACAAGCCGGAGGGCCGGAAAGAAAACAACGAACCAGATCAAGTAGTAAGACAAAGGCGAAGTCAGTAGCTCACATTCGTAGACGGTTCTTCTTGTCGATTTCGGATCAGCGACACGAACAATATGATTCTGCCGCAGTCTTCACGGCTTTTGAGAGATTGTACTATTGAGTACAACTTAATATTGATAACAATTAACCACGTGCGTGCGAGCAAACGGTAACCAGTCGTCAGTTCCCTTGGTAATCTACTACGTCGGCCGCTGTGTTTCTTGTTCGATTCTGGTCATTTTTTCTTGCAATCTCGACGAAAGATACAGCGGATGTTGTAACTTGATGATGTAGCAAAGAGCACAACTGCCGCGACACCCTGTCGCGCATGTTCCACATTGATGACACCCGAAAAGTAGCGACAGACTTGGTGTCGGTCAAAGCCGTCGAGAACGGAGTGCTTCTGCTATTGACCGTCATTCGAGCCGACGTGTGTGTGTCTTTATTGCCTTGTGAACTATTTCCTGGACAACAAAGCTCGGAAACAGTCATTCCACGCTCCGCCCTGTAGTTTTTACGGTGGGTAAGCAGAGGTAGAATTAATGATCATGCCTCATATTCCTATGGTAATGGATTAAACAGTCTATCAAGTGCGACGACAATTAGAAAGAATAACAAAGCATCGATTTTTGTCTGACCCAAAGTGTAGTATAAACGTTGGTGGGATAACTATTGCGCGCCAAGCAAAAAATCTGCAAGGCCAAGAACTTGACTCTTGTCGCGCGAACACGATACATCGCGACTGGATCGGGGGATGCGGCGCGGCTTATGCCTCATGGTACCCCAAGAAAGAAATTGAATGCTATAAATCAGTCCGCCGCTCGACTTTGTGCCCCGTCCATTGCACATGTAGTTGTGCTATGCCGAGACGAACGTACATATTCTGGGACGGTATGCCGTTTTCGATACGAGTGCTTGGCCAGCATCGCACGACCACTAGATGCGAGCACCCGCTTGTCCTGATACTTTAAACGAATCGACACGTTTCAAGATGGGCTGAGACTAAGCTTGCTGGAATGCTTGCAACGATGTTCCGTATAACTTGGGCTCAGTATCTCGCGGTGTGGGTCCGCTTCCCTATTCCGACAGGCTTGCGTCGAACGTACTTGAAGACGACCATCCCGTCGGATGAGTAGCCATGTAGCAATAGGTTGAGATCAGGGATGGCACAAGGTTTCTTGGTGAAGCAAGGGTGTAACAGGTACTCGCAGATGGTGTACTCAATGATCGTCCAATACCCGCTTTTCCTGCGGATTTGCCTCCGATAAAAAGAGTAGCTCAAGAGCGGCTTCGCACTGACTAGGGGCGCTCTTGTGATGAGCAGAAGTCCTCAACGAGTAGGCCATATGGTGTTGTCGAGAGGAAACTTAGAGACCAGTCTAATTCGCATCTCTGGCATTCGTTCCCACGTCACCAGAGCAGTAGGTGAGCACACCCTAATTCTCTGTGCATGTCTTTGTTTCGGTACCGATTGCATGACAAAGGAAGCTTTCTTCGCTGTCAGCGGTTACTGCCAGTGTCCAAACATCGTACGTCATACGAGATCGATCGTCGCTCGGCGAGAAGCGCAAAAGGGAATGTCTTCGAGCGAGTGCCGGTCGACAACATCCTGGTACAAACGTCGTGACGACACTCGTCGAGTAGACAGCTGGAAAGGAGGTGCATCTCGACCGGACGTGTGACGGCAGCCCCAACACAGTCGTCATCGTCGGTCCATCGATCGCTCTTGTAGAGGTTCTCTGTGGCAGGTCCACGAAATGACACGAAGTCAACAAGTGCCTCTTGCTTCGACTGAGTCGACCGCAGGCTACTTCAGTCGGTCGTCTCCTGTAATGGGGTGACCCCGTTACGTGATGTGACCCACTCGCTCTTCGAAGCTGCTGACGTGGCTGGCAGAGTCACGGGCCCAGTTTCGTAGACGTATTCCTAGACGTGCATTCCGTTTGCGACCGCGCAAACACACACGTCGCCCACTCTTATTAGTCCGTCAGGCGGAAGTGCCGTGAGACTGAGAGGCCGGTGACAGTCTCCATCAAGCGCATGCCGCCTGTAACACCATTGACCGTCTACAATGTGGTGCCGGCGTCGTAATGGGGGCCCAAGCCTAAGGAGCGATCGACATGGGCTTGTCAGGATCTCGTCCAGCAGGCAGTGGGCTCGAGCCGAATTGATAGTGCTGTCGAACATGTAGCCGCAGTGCTGCACCTGAGGCAGGAAGACGAGGTCTGTTGCTGCAGTGCTGCACCTGAGGCAGGAAGGCTGCAGGTCTGTTGCTGCAAGCACAATGTCCGGACACACGGGATGCACCAGACAAGAACGCGGTCTCCTCTGCGTGGCCAGCAATCGCAGACTAATGGGCCAACTCGGTGCATTAGGTGGTCAGATCCTACCGCGTGATGACGCTCTTGGCAGCGGCTATCTCGAGCGGTGCTACCGATCCACCGTTGCTAGCAAAAGTCCTATGGATGCAGTCTGCGTGGAAACTAGACACACGGAGTCGTAAACGTCAGCAACTTGGGCTCAATCAAGTTTTGCTTGCATCGACCAGCTCGTTGTCAAGCAAACGAGAGCAACTGTTTCCTACGTACTCAAGTTGCTTAGCTTGCCGCCTGTTTTTCGTCCTCGCTGTACTGCAGACTGGCCACACTGACACAACGACTGTCTGTGGCTTTCGTGTTTGCGCTCTTGAGTTCCGTCGAAGAGATGATACGGTGCAACGAACGCCGCATTGCAAATGTCATCATAAACCACGTACAACGTGCATAGTGGGTGGTTTGGATTCATACATGAAAAAGAAACACAGTCACACGCCCCACGACCGTTCAGACGACCAGAGCCCACCGTTCAGCAGAGAGCGTATCTCGACAACACGACGCACGAGGTCGCTAGTTTTGCACAGGAGGTACGTATCCATGCTTTGTAGCGTACGATTGGGCCACCTGCACACGACACGATAGCATCATGCGATAAGCAGTCGCGAGTCACCAACCATAGCAACGCACTCGACTGTACCTTGGCCATGAATTCCGGGTGCTCTTCTGCTTCATGAAGCACATAAGCGCCAGCTGCAGACGCCATTCCTTCATGTCGACGCAGTAACGTCTCGGTTTCCTCGACAGCAGGACGGTACGTAGCCGTCGGGTCCATGTTCACATCCAGTGTCCCTTGACGAAACTGTGGATGAAAAAGCATGACGAGCAGACTCAAAGCGGCATTGCCACACATGAGACAGCCCACAAAGTAGGCGAGCGAGCTGTCCATGCCAAAGTCCATAAAGCCGACTGCAAAGATAAAGGCTGTGCGGCCACGATAGGTGAACAAGAAGCCAAATTGCTGGCGGATATACGGCTCCATGTGCTTGAACCGGCACTCGAATGCCAGCAGCAGCAATGCGAAAATACTAGACGGACAAAAGAGAGTGCGGCATACCTTAGGTACGACGATCATATCCCAAGCCCATGATCATATCGACAGCACGTACACGGCATAGATCGAGATGAAAAAGCACGTGATGTCGAGCACGACGAGATTAAAGAGTCCCAAGAACCCCGCAAGCGCCTGGAGCACTGCCAGCACCACGTTTGCATAGCGCAGGTATCGCATCAACGCGGCTGCCTCCATCATCTTCATTCTTTAGAAACGTCATATCGTTAGTGACATCCATTTCTAACCACAGTCGGTCGATTCAATTCGAGTCGCGACCTACTTTTGCCAATACGTGGACGGCGTCGACAGGTTAGGAAGGGGCGTGGAGCCGCCCAGTCCGAGAGGCTCCTGCTGACGCACGCTGCCAGGATTTCCACTGTTGCCCATTGCAGTTTGCTGCGGATTGAGCGGCGCGCGGAGCAGTCGTTCCTGCGCGTCGTTCTCGCTGGCGCTGAACATCAGGACAAGGAAGGGGTTCTTCGGAAAAAGAAGATAGCGATGTAGTTGATTGAACGCTTTATCGGCTTTTGGAAACGAGATAAAACGCTGAAAAGAAGGCGTCTGCGTCTGTAAATTTCATCGGGTTTGTACATCATTTTTTTTCGCTGGGATAAAAGCACACACAGCTATCGAGCTGCTGTTTTGCCGCAGATGTATTGAGGGGATGCCTCGATACCACAAGGTTTCAGCAAGCATTTCGCTGTGTCGAAACTGCACAAACGTCAACGTGTTACAACAGCGCACACGCGGCGGGTGTTCAATTTAAACGGATACACACACACACTTTGCTCTCTTTGCTCCTGTACATTTATTTAGTCCTACTGATAATCCTGCTGTCTTCGCGACGTCAAAAACCCACACCAGACACACACGCTCGCACTGCTTTGCCATCGCGGCTTCTCGCCTCCCATCAAACCACTGCCTCACTTTTGAATGACTTTCGTCGCGCGATACGTAAAGTCTGCAAAGTACTCCTGCTCGCGGTCCACCGAATCGAGCATGCGCCACTCGGGCGTATCCACCGGTACCTGGTTAATGAACTCATTGTCCACGTACTTGGCGTCCGCATCATCGATCACGTCCGGCACCCACTCTGGCTGCACTTTCTTCTGCTGCAGAGCTTCCCAGTCAATGCCATTGAAGAATGGATGCATCATGATAGAAAACGGTACGGCCTCGTTCGCTCCAAGCCGCCGTGACGGATCGCGCTCAATTAGACCCGCAAGTAGTGACCGTACGTCCTCAGGTAATTCGGGCGGAATGTACAAAAACCCTTCAGCAATATTGCGGTACATGATCGCAGTGTTATCGTCCTTGAAAGGTGTACGTCCGACGTACATTTCAAAGATGAGAATTCCCAGACTCCACCAGTCGCAAGTCGTGTCGTAAACGGCAAGAGCTTCGCCCTTCTTCGGGTTCGCAGCAGCGAGGACCTCAGGCGAAATGTACTCCGGCGAGCCAGCAAGTGAGTGAGCTTTCTGGTCATCCTCATCCTTCGCATACGTCGAAAGACCAAAGTCCACAAGCACGATGTGACCGTCCTTCTGGATGAGAACATTTTCAGGCTTGAGGTCGCGATAGATAATGTCTAGACTGTGCAGGTGCGCCAGGCCTGCCACCAACTCTGCCGCGTAAAATACAATACGTCCAGGCGTAAGCTTCAGCTCGTCGTTTTGGTTCATCGCCAAGTGATGGCGCAAGTCGCCACCGTTATAGAACTCCATGCCCATGTACACCTTATCTTCGTTCTGGAAAGCAAACAACAAAGACGCCACGAAAGGATGGCGAACTTCACGCAGCATGTCCCGCTCAAGCTTTGCGTTGCGACGCATGTTCTTGTCCATGCCAATCTTTGTGATGATCTTGATGGCGTAGACATTTCCATCGGGGCCACGTGCAGACAACACACGACCGTATGTGCCAGTGCCGAGAACCTTGAGCAGCTCAAAGTCTTCAATCTTGATCGTTGACTTGGACTTGCCTTTGTCAGAGTCTACGGCCGGTGCCGATACTGTGGCTCCTGCTCCGCCACTAACATCGTCCGGCACTTGAGACCCACCCAACCCATTTTCCTCCTCATTGCAGACGGACATGGCCATCATAGAACGAGTCAGCACTTCTTCTTCCGTATCTTCCACTTCTTCTGCTTCGCCTGAGAGAATCATATCACGCTGTCGAACAGCTTCCGTCTGAACAGCTGCGTCCAAATGGGTTACCATAAAGCGGTAGTACTTCCACGTGCTGTTCGTGAACCTCCGGTCTCCAGACACGTGCATCATGATCCCATTACGAATGAGCGCTGTACCAAGCAACAAAGCTTCTTCAGCAGTCGAACACGTCACGCCGCCACGCATTGGACGATTCAGTCCATGGCACAGCATCCACTCGAGCGCCTCTTTGCCCGTGATAACATTCGGGTGCGGTTTCAAGTACAAACTGCGATCCCGTGCGGGTATTTCCTGCCTCATCTGCTCCGCACATGTCCACAGCTGCCACAAACTCGGCTCGCGCACAATGCGACTCGAGATCCGCACTTTGCCCTGCACGCGCTTCATTTTGCCACCGGGACGCAACTGCAAGTCGTACCACGCGACACGCTCTTCACCGCTCGTGTTCATGTCTTCGAGACTGAGCAACAAGCGGCCCAAGTCCTCGCTCTCGACACGTCCCTTGTCTTTGCATTTCACGAGCACGTACTTGGCGTTCACGAGGTTCGTCTGGATGCCAAACGTGTACTCTTCCGACGCCGCCGCTGCGCCAATGCCCAGCGGCTGGTGACTCTCGACGTTGCTCTCGAGCGATCGCAGCACAGCGGCTTTCAGGGGACTCCAGACCGGATTGGCCTGTCGCATGGACGGGGTGCGCTGCTTCTCGCCCTTGATCTCGCGCTTGTGCTCGTCCAGCAGCACAAGTGTGCAGTACGAGTTCCGCCCTCGAATGGACTCGGTGGGCAGCAGGTCCCACGCCTCAATTGGCGTCACTTTCAGCAGATAGCGGCGCTTGGCCTTAATCCGCGTTTTGCTACTGGTCGACACTTGGGTTTGACTTGGAGTGCCTATTATGTACGCACGACAAAGATAGAGGGACAAACAAAACAGAGATAGAGAGACGGGCAAACAGAGATAGAGAGAGAGAGACGGACAAACAGAGATAGAGATAGGGAGACGGACAAATAGAGATAAAGAGACGGACAAATAGAGACAGAGCGAGATAGAGGTCAGCCACATTCGACACGAGACGAGCAGCACGGGGTGACGCACAGAGCGGCGGTAGGACGTACGGGACGACGGCTTCCGACTCGACATGATGGGCACAGCGGCGCCGTTGACGCGCGACAGGAAGAGACGAAGAAGAAGCGGCGATGGCGGCGGGAGGAGAGGGGCCGGCAGTGTCGTTGGGCCACGGAAGCGGTCGTGCACTTGTGGGCGCTGCGGGTTTCGCACTGGTGATGTGTTCGCGCCAGCCGCTTCCTTATCGGTGGGTTTCGGGGGTAGACGGGACGGAGTGTACGACTGCGGTCGGACAAACGCCGAGGACAGCGGAAACACGGGGCTCGCTCGGCGCTCGAAAAAGTCGGGCCTGCGACATGCACTAAGAGTTACGACGTGATGATTGGGGTCGTCGGGATAGCGTAGTGGGGCTGCTGCGACACGCGTGTTGACGTACCTGTGGGAAAGGTTACTGTAGTAGGACGTTCAACGCGGTCCGGCTAGTGGACCCGTGGAATAGTGACTGTACGACGGTCGTTGTACAGTCGGTCAGTCGCGCTGGAAGACCTGGCCACAAGGACCTGTCCTACTAGTTTGAAGTCAGACGAAACATTGACCGCTTCGTTTTCCCACCGGCGCACATTTAACCGACAGTGTCTATTTCATCGATAGGACAGCGCGGAAGGAATATCAACGTGTGTAGTTTTGGCTGCTGAACGGAGCCGACCAGTCGACTGAGACCTGCAAGTGTTTTTTTTGCGTCGTGGCAGAAACGGTCCAAGTCCAGGACGAAGTGGTCGATCGCCGGCGTGTTTCTACGCGAACGCTTGTGTCTCGACAGTCAACCTTACATCTGATTCGTGCAAGTAGAAGAACAAATGGAGGGATTCTTGGTCGTACATATTTACTACGCTGGCACGCGTCTGGACCGGACGTACAAAAGAAACCTGTGCTTTTCGACTGAATTTCGGTGCATCGTGTAGGTCGGAGAAAACTTCGCAATCTCATATTTAATACTGAGCTCAATTTTGAATCAGCAGAGAAATAGTTTGCATTTGTTTTTTTGTTGAAAAAGGTAGCGGCGCTTCTTTCGAGTTTGAAAAACAGAAACGACGTTTCTGCGGACCAATCGAGTCCTGAGACGCTGATCCGTACCGACTAGCGATGGACCAATAACCGGTAGCTCGGTCGCCGATACCTGAGCACATGGCTTGCTCATGCCCTAACCCGTTCGTCGATCAGCCTACCGGCCTGTCCTTTGTGACCACGAGACAAGAAAGTAAGTAGGACACGCACAGACAGATCTGGTTCTATCTGTTGACGAGAAGCTGCTTCCTCTCTTCCGCCTTCTTATCGAGTCCCCTCTTCGTTACACCGCAGGATACACACGCTGGACCTTTTTTCCATATCACATGAGCTAGAAGTACCATGCGCACTTTGCGTCGATACAGCCGCATCTGAGACCGCAACGGAGCAAATCAATTGATAACTCTTCAGTAGGCCTCCAAACCAGTCTTGTTTGTTGCCTTTTTGCGTGCACTGGACCGACTTCCGGCCAACAAACCAGCTCGTTCGTGGCTCAGCGATATCAGTTGCAGCAGTGCTGATACGAATGTGCGCCGTCCTGCCGTTGTGGCCTTAGCCTGCAGCAAAAGTTGTTCAACTGTCGCCAGGTGCTCCTCAAATCCAAATCGCAAAGAATGTGCAGCAAGTCTCCAGCGGCTAAGGCAGTACGCACTCAGGTATTCTGCTTCGATCTCTAGACCATATTCAGCGGTAGAGCTAGAGGAGACCTGGGGAAAAGGTGCGTAAGCAGACTCGCGTTCTGTGAGTGTTCTCCCACACGCATGCAGGACTAGCGTCGCATTTTGCACCGTCTTGTTGCCGCTTGCAGGACGTTGTCACTTACCACTGTACCCCATCTGCACAAGTACAGCTTCGCCACTTATCTCTCTGCTTTTCTCTCTCTCGACTTCTCTTTCTATCTCTCTGTTGGGTCGTCAATATTCGAACCTCCGCGTTGCAAACATCAGATGTAGAAGAAAAAGTGCTTTTGGTTTACAATAAGCGGCTCATCGGGAATTATCGCTTGTTTTCACCTGACAAACACGAATCAAGTGACCCGTTCGAGCTGAATAGTAAGTTTGTAGAGCGTGCACTACCGACTCAGTTGGACGATTGCGGTCTTTTGCGGCTTTTGACGATTACATGGGATCCCAACTTGAATGCGTTGTCACTTGTGTTAGACGATGGGCTCTGGCCGTCAACAGCTTCTGCACCGTCAGGCAATCGTGACGAATGATGAAAAGATGCCGCACTTTTGTTCAAGAGGTGTGGAACAGAGCCGTTGTCTGAAGGCACAATGCAAGAAGACCGTGGCCTCAGCCGGTGCGTGGCTGTCCTTTGGCAGCGAGGAATTGCTTCCGTCGTGCAAACACAAAGACATGTGGTGGTATCGCGTAAGACGTGTAGGTCATGTGTAATAGTCGTCTTCTCCGACAAGAAGATCACACGCAGTCTGACGAGCGCCGGTGTCAATTCAGCTCTGTTGGACCTGACGACGATAATGCCGCTATCCATCGCTACGGAAGCAGGTAACATACACGGCTGCCCAAACCACGATCTTAAACAACGATACGACAAGGCCGCACGTACCGTAGCAGTGCAGGCAGAATAAGACCATCGAGTTGTGAACAGGACCAGCGCCTACACGTTTTTAGTTGTGCTGGATGTCGTTGGCAATGTGGCCGAGAGATCAAACTTTTCAACTCTTTTCACGTCTTGTCGGTCGGTGCTGCTCCATTATTTCAGATGTTACGGTAAATACCAACGACGTTGGCTGAGGCCACGCATTCTTTTGCCGCTAGCGCTTCCATTGTTCTGGACATCGCAGACGCAAAAACTTCGCAGCGTCTCACGATGTGGAACATGATTCTCATGTCATACCTTGCCATTGCATCAAAATGCTGGGTCCATCGAGTTTCCGAAACGATGAAAGGTAGTTCATCATCCTGCTCGACGAGGCTAACACTGCTCAAGCCTTACAACAAGTCCATGGAACAGAAGGCCTATGATCTGGCTGCGACGGGGTCACTGGCGGCACGCTCTGGGAAAAGCGACATCTGTCGTTTGAAGGTGACAATGTCACCAATCAGCTTGGGCGGGTTCCCAACATCGCTGCGGCCTCTGGCGCCAACGCCCAGTTGCTGCTCGAAAAGCATTGCTGCGGCCAAGCCCGTCGACGCGGTAGTTGATAGACTGGGACTGAAAAGCTCAGTAGTGATGAGCTCGGGGAACGCGTGCTTCGCGCCGTACAGGCGAATGCTCAGCTTGCTTCGTCGTTCGCCTTTACCGGCAATGAAAGAGTCATAAAATGCCAAAAGGTCTCTCGGCTGCAGAGTCGACACGATTGCTGCCATGCGCTGACGTCGGTCAAAGACAAACATTTCGTTTGCAATCTCACGCCAAGCGCGCATGGATTCGTCCAGCTCATGTTTCGGCTTTTCCAGTAAAGCCTTGGCAACGGCGTTCACCTGTTTCACCCAAACGTCGGCTGGCATCTCAGCAATTACAGATCGGAAGCGTGCCACAAACAGCTCTATACGCTGATCCAATAGTTGCGGCGACGCCACGTCCGACTGGATCAAGACGCGAAAGTAGACGACGCCTTCCATGTGCATGATCCCTGAGAACACCAGGTATCCGAGCTGCTCCTGTGTGCGAAGCTGGTTGAAGCAAGGCTCCTTGAAGATGTGCGCAAACAGCTCGAGACGCGCACGAAGAGCCATATTGCTTGCTTCCGTTTCACATTCTAACTGGTATAGCGTGCAGATCGCAGAGTTGAGGTTAGCTTTGTTCCATTCACGTCGCTGGAAGACGTACTCGGTGGCATCCTCCAGACGCACGATTCGTGGCTTTGTGGTTTGGCTACGTAACAGCGGAAAGCTGCCTCCACTCACGTATTCCTTGTTGACAAAACCGAAGTGTTGCAGCACTTTTTGCATCAAAGGTGGAGCTGCGCTCTGCTGGAGATTGCCATAGAAGAAGCCTTCCACGAACACCTGCTGGAAAATGAGTCGGCTGTGAGCTGCTAGGTCAGACAGGGATAGATGTCCAATAGCTCGAATCTTGTCTTCTACACTCCATCTTGAGGTTTCCAACAGCTGACTGCACACGTGCACGGCGTGCTGATAGGGCTCCTCGAGAAAACAGTTCTCGTACATCCGTTTTGTACGGTCTTTCACGCGCTCAAAGACTGCGCTTTCGTACTCATAGTCAGCCTTGGTCATTTCCAGCATCTGCTGGAACACTTTGCACAGCAAACTTGGGAGCTTGTGCGAATATCCACCAACGTGCAATTCAAGCGAGCGAGAATTGAAGCCAATCTCATACTCCATACCAGCAAGCTCTGCATCATAGGACACTTCCGTAAGCTTGTCTTTCAGGTAGCGCACAAACAAGCTCGTCAGCACTGCATGGTACGGGCTAGTGGACAGTGACGACGAGTACAGCAAGAAGTGCAGCATTAACTTTGGTTTGCGAAACAGTATGTCCGGCTTGTACCATAAGCGACACTGTTCATCCTGCTGCAGCAGCATCGGTGGAGATGCGCCCGTGTCCTGCTTGCCCATCAACGCGGACACTTTGCGAGCAGGCGTCACGATGCTGAAGTCGCTACAGATGAACTCGTTACGATGGGGGAGTTTCAGTGCTGTATTCAGAGCAGGCGATGCCCAACGCTGAAGAAGCTCAGCATCAAGTGCGCTTTCTGAATAACAGGTCTGGTACCACTTCTCCACACTCTTCGTTTTGCCTTCGAACGTTTTGCTGACCACCGTTAGGCGCATGCGATGCGCAGTAAGTAGATCCAAGATCTGCTGGACCTTCTTGCCATCGCACTCATACAAGACGTAGCTGCCCGAAAGAATATACTTGGCGGGATAGCGGTGCATCACATTTGCCAGGCGGCTCGTGTAAGTGATGGGGTTCTCCTTGCTCTTGAAGCGGAAATTCTGCAACGCCAAGTTTTGCGTCTCTTGGAAAATCCATGGCGCAAACGGAGCCTCTTGCTGGAGAGTCTGTATATACTGGAACACTGCTTCCACGACATCATTCACATGTTTGATGCCTGCATCCGTCGCCTCAATCTTCACACTAAACAGTGCCCAATCCTCATGATCACGGAAAAGCCCTGCTGACAGCCCGTTGGCCCATTTTTGCGTTTTCAAGTAGCTCAAGATCGATCCTGGTCCTTCATGCCCGATCAAATGCGACAAGATCCTTGTCGGTTTTGTCCGAAAATCCCAATGCAGCGATGGCAAAGGCCACGAGACATCAATCACACGAAGGTCTTTCACTGGTGCTACTTGCACCACACGCGCCAGTCTCGTCTCGTCGAACGGCACAACATCGCCAAAAGTCGGACGCGCTCGTCCCGAATTCTGAATATCAGAAAACAGCTCCTCAGCCCAGATTTTCAGCGTTGCAATGCTCTCTTTGCCACAAATCACGAGCTTCATGATGCTTGCAGAGTAGTAGGTGGCGTGGAACTCGAGCAAAGCCGCACGGACGTCTACGCCTTGCGCTCTCGGGATCGTCCCGAGCGTCTCGATATTGCCCGTACCGAATTTGTGGAACGGATGCAGTGGATTCGACAGCGACTTCTGCAGCTGATAGAGTCGTCGATGATCATTTTGCAAATTCTTGGCATTCTCGGAATTCACGGCATGTATTTCCCGTTCCGTTGCTGAGCTGGTGAACAACGGGGCAATGAAAAACTGCGCGAATCGGTCCAATCCTTCGTACAAGTGCTCGCTCAGCACGTCGAAGTAGAAATTCGTCGACGTCTGGGACGTCGACGCATTGCTGCGCCCACTATGGGCACTTAGAAATCGTTTGTAGCTGTTTTCATTTGGGTACTTGTGCGTGCCCAAAAAGAGCATATGTTCGACAAAATGGGCAAGTCCGGGCAAGTGACTGGGGTCGCTCTGATGCCCGACGTGCACGTCCATCGCCGCTGCTGATTTCTCCGTCACGGGGTCCGAGACCACCAGCACTTGCAGCGCATTCGCCAGTGTAAACGTCTCGTACTGGCGCGCGTCGAGAGCCGACACGTCGAGTCCCTTGCGCGTCACGAGGGACGCCATGTTTGACGAGGATCGATCGGTCTTTTTGAGATAAATGACGGAGATATCTTACGCGCGTGTGGACAGTCAGTCTCCGACTGCGTTTGTGACGGCAGAGGTCGAGACAGATGTACGACCGCGAGATGCTCGCGAGAATTAGTCGTTCAATCGGTTGCAGTGACAGTGGCCAGTTCGAAACACGACTTCCTGTTTCTCTTTGGTAGTGGAAACGTGCACGCACGTTGGCCAGTAGACTCTGTTCGCGACACGTTGCAGCCATTGGCATATGGACTTCTAGTGGGCACACGATACCTGAAACGTTTTGAGCAAAGCTGAAAGCGTTTCGGACTCCCAACACATGAGGTGCTCGAGGTTCCCCCAGGGTATCTACATGTCCATTCTGCTACGCTAAGCCGAGTTCGTGTCGCATCAAGTCGTGATAAGTTTTCACACCTTGACTGCTCTGGGACGCAACAGAAGCGAGTCGTGTGCCTCGACACCAGGCTTTTAACGTGATCAGCAGCCAAAGCTCATCGCTCTTTATCCGATCACTTTTCTTTACTCTCGCGCTTGTCTTGCTTCGGGAAGTTGACCAACGACGTATTGGGTGATTCCAGGCGTGCTACTACTACTTTCCCTTGACGTCTGCTGTCGCGCTCCCCTCTTCCTGCTTCGTGGTGAACTAGAAAGCACTGTGCAACAATGCAACAGTTGAGGACGCGGCCGTTGCTATAGACTGCGATTCCTTCGGCTCTCGCCCCTCTATTCGGTGAGCACCATCCTTGCAGCACTACAGAGGCTCAGCTCACAGTACAGGCACGAAGAGTCCCACACACAGCCCTTTCGGCTGAGTCAGCTCCGACGTCAGCCAAAGTGGCAGCCACAAGTCCTCTACAAGACGAGTTGCCGGTGATGCCACCTCGTACGAAAGAAGCAGATGATCAACAACAGTCGACAGTCATTCGTGTGCCACAAGTGTCGGCCGCAAATGTTACGCTCGACCCGAAACGCATCTGGTTGTTCGCCCAGTGTACGCCCCTCCCCCCTCTCTATGTCCCACCACTTCCTGTCTCCTCCTCGACAAGGCCCGAGTCGCAAATCGTCACGAGCGAGACAACGTCTGAGTCTGAGCCAACAACGTCTGAGTCTGAGGCAACAACGTCTGAGTCTGAGACTGAGGGGGCGACTCGAGCAAACCCGTCGCTGAGTCCAACGCCCAAGAGCTCGCGGCACGCAGCAGCTCAATGCCGTGTCACTCGGCGTCGCCCTCTCCCCGCACGTCGTCCGCGGCTGCCAACGGGTGCGGTACCGCCACAGCGGACGCTTTCGACGTCCCGCGCCCGTCGCTGTCCATGTCTGCCACAGTGGCAACCGCCAGTGGGGCCCCCCTCTCCTCTGCGACTGCCCCGACGCCTCCTCCCCACAACAACAACAACAACAACAATAGCACTTGTACGGCCGACGCACAGACTACGCACGCGACGCTCTTCCCGTCGTCGATACCCACTGATCCGTCGACGACAGATCTCGGGACGTGGCCGCTGCAGCGCCCCGACGCGCTGTCACTGGCCACGGACGGCCTCTCGACCCGAACGTCGGGCGACGTCCCTCGCACCGTAAAGCTCCTGAGCGAACTCGAGCGGTCGTGGGCCATGTTCGCCGCGTCGTGGAGCGTCGTGGACCTGTTTGGGGGCGTGCAGATCTGGCGCGAACAGTCGAGGGAGCTCACGGCGTCCGAGCCGCTGAATAACGTGCTGCTGTCCACGACGTCCGCGGGGTTAGTGACCTTTGTCGCTGGCCACATTGGAGGCGCGGGCTTCGCTGTCTCGGCTCTGCTCACGGCTCTTGTCGTCGCCGCCGCGTGGTGGACACTGACCGGCGCTCGAGCAAAGAGAGCCGTCCCGAGTTTCAAAGCTGTGCAAGTCGTTGACGGCTCGCCGTCCGAGATTTTCGTCTACTTGATGGGGATCAAGAACTACTGCGTCTGGGACGCTTCGGTCGAGACGGCAGAAGTCGTGCATACGATCGACGACCATTCCGATATTATCCACGTTGTCTATCGACCCGTGTGGATGTGGCCAATGTGAGTTGGGTCGAGGGCTTGCAGCCGATGGATTGAGCGAGTGAGTGTGGGTGGGTGTGTGCTGTCTTGCTAATCGTAGCTGTCTCTGTGTTTGTGTGTATGTGCGTGTTGCGTAGATGGCTGACACCAAGAGACTTATGCCTGCTGAGGTATTGGCGACGAGCGGAAGACGGGTCATACATCATTTGCATGCAAAGCGCGCTGCACCCCGAGTGTCCGCCAATGCACGGACTGGTGCGCGCGACGTGTAAAGGCGGCGGCTATATCATCTCCCCGCGCGCTCTCGGTGTCGCGCAGGGTGACGAATTGACCTCTATGGTCACGAACGTGGTGCACTTGGATCCACGGGGGTGGGAAGGCAAACTGCTGCAACGCTTGAACATCATGCACTTGTACGTGCGACCTCAGGTGCTGTCATTAACAGGGCTGCGCGATGTGATGGAAGCTCGCAAGTACGTGTGTCCGAATGCCCCCGAAGAAGTCTCGGTAACCTTCACGGCGTCGACAGAAGAGCAGCATGCGAACGCAGCCGCAGTACAAGCAGGAAGAGAGAGTGTCGACGATCCAGATGCGCCGGTGTCTCGATTGGAAGAGTTTCCGAGTAACGTACCGCGATCAATGTGGGCTGAACCGGATGGCGCAGCTATGATGGTGCGAGGCCCCGACTACTTGGCTGACCAGCGGAAGATTCCGTCGCAGTCTCCATACTTTCGCCTTGTGGGTGTCGACCTCTTCGAGTCGTCAGAATCTGTTGAGCATATTGCTTCCCTTCCGGGTAACTCTGTTCAGCGCGAACTTCGACGTCACGCAGAGCGAGGAACGGAGATGCCGTTCACCTTTGTGGTCAACTTTGTGGTGCCAGGCACGCCGCGCATTAACTTGGTACTCTACTACCAGGTACCTCATCCATCCGTGCTAACAGACGGCTCACCGTCGTCTGAACTGATGGCTGATTTTCTAGACAGCTCGGATGAGTTTCGCAACGAGCGCTTCAAGCTTATTCCCTGTATCGTCGAGGGGAGCTTTATCGTGCGTCAGGCAGTGGGCTCTACTCCTGCGCTCATTGGCAAGAAGCTGCGCCAGCCTACGTATCGCGGCAAGCAGTATTTTGAGCTGGATGTCGACATTGGCTCGTCGGCAGTTGCCAACCGTGTCGTCGGTCTCGTCTCAGGCTACACGAAGAAGCTGGTGATTGACATGGGTTTTGTGCTGGAAGGCCAAAGCCCTGATGAATTACCCGAGCGGCTTTTCGGCAGCGTGCGCCTCGTGCATCTCGACCTTGACGTCGCCGAGAAACTCACGTAAAGTCTTGTGTATTGGCGAAGTAGACCGTAGACGAAAAACCGAGGAAGTGTAATGCATGATAACCTCCCAGCCATCAGCTCGCTCCACAGTCATTCCCTTGGACTGTCAGGCCGCAATGAAGATGTCGTTTGCGAAAGCTCTTACTCTGCCGAATGCCCAGAGTGAATGACGTGGACTTCAGCGTGGCCCTTGAGGCTCTCACTCGGTCTCGATTTATTGATATGCAAGCGAATGGGATCATGAACGCAACGATAACAAGTCATGTTCCTGTCGGTGACCAAGTTACCGTCAGCTTTTAATCAGGTGCTGAGCATTGTAACGGAAGTTGTGCTATTTGTAGCGCTAAAACGCTAAGGCCTCCGAGCTGCTGATGAAAGAAAGACTGCGATGCAAGTACAACTGCGTTGATTTTCTCGGTGCATCAACCCGTACACTAACGGCACATACGTGACAAACAAATTCAATGTAACTTGGGTGCTTGCGTTGCAGTCAATGGAGATTATCTCGATACACTTGTGCTATAAATGCACAAAACCTATGCATCAAAGTAGAAGTACGACGACAAGAAGCACATGGAACGGTAACACGCACCGCAAGCAGCAACTGATGAGTGCACATGTATGTTGTATCAACCAAGTGATATCGACGCGATCAATCCTTGCGGAAGCGCAATCCAATCAGCTAATGTAAAACAGACCTTGTCGAGCTTGGCTTGACGCATTTGGTGGCAAGACAATCGATAGACCAATACCACTTGAGTGGCAATGACAATCCAAAGCGTTCAGGCGTACAACACTGGAAGACCGTCGTGCTACAGTTACTGTTTGTACAATGGTGGCATGCCAGTCCTTGATGTAAGCTCCGAGTAGATGGACATACAGGCACCACCATTTGCAATTGCTATGTTCGTATCATAAACTGAGGCCCTCTACAAGCCCACGATAACAAGAGCATTGCACAGAAGTGGTATCAAGATATACATGCGTGTTCGCCAGTACACAAGGGGCAGTGATACATCAAATGGCTCGTCAGTCGTCCTGATTCTGCGAACCTGACGCTGTCGCTAGAAGCTCTGGTTCAGAACGAAGGGTCGCATTCGCACGAATGCCAATCGAGATGATCAAAGTTGTAGTGCTAGTGGAACCCAAATAGCGCGTCGTCTTGTGTTTCCTGAATGTGCCCATAAGCAACGTATATGGAAAATATATAAGCAGCGACTACTGACCAACGGCAAAACTCGAGCATTGTACTGCAAAACCTTTCGCAAACATGGCCTTTGTTTGGGCTAAGAAAAAGCTTCGAACTGACAGAAACGGGAATATTGCATGAGAAATTCAACACCACTATTTGCTGCTATCCAGCTCAACATCCAAGTCACTCGATCAGTACACACTTGTTTACATGTGTCGTAAAGCTGCTCGAATGTGTTTCAGCTGTTGAAAAGGCTGCAGGTCGTATTTGACGCTACATCGACCTCCAAGACGGTACTCATAGGCTCTCGACTAGTTAACAAGATGGTTACTTGGATATGCAGACAAGTGCACTTGGTAGTAGTCATACTGACGCAGACAGCGGCAATGCAGTACTCGATGAATTAGCGTTTTGTCGGGCCGCCACATCGTCTCGGCTGTATGCTGGCCTAAACCATGACTGACGAACAGACACGCTGAATTCGTATGTGAGAGCTAGACGAGCGACACGGCAAAGATTCTACTGTAGAAGTTGTTGCTGCTGACGATGTGATTATGCGAAAAGTGAACAAGAATGAGCGACAGGCGATGCTTGTAGCATGAGTGGCACGTATTGCATATAGCGTTTTGCCGGACCCTCGTCAAGTGCTTAATATGGCAGGTGAGGCTACTTTTCCCTGATCATTCATGTTAGCGTGTCCTCGTATAAGTGAGGAAGTTTTCCACAGGTTCCTTTGCGATAGCCCGATGTGAAGGGATATGATTGTTGCATGACTTGGACATGGATCGAATGTCGATGTAACAAATGTCTTCGTGAAGGATATGCACCAGTTTTATCTGCGATGGAAACGAAGTGAACGATCGACAAAACGTGGTAGTTGGAAGCAGCTAAACACGATGTGTCCTCATGATGCAGGCATGCTGTCTGTAACGGGGCACTGTTGACTACGTACTGGTTGACTACGTACTGGTTGACCAGTACGAAGTATACTTCCACTGACGACAGTGGTCGACAGTGCCCTGCTAGGTGTTTTAAGGAAAACACAGAGGAAAGAAAGGAGACTAAGTAGTCAGACTAGTCTCTTGGTAAAAGTAAAACTGTATTAATATAATTAAGTCCTATAACTCCTTGAATCTCTGTTGTCCTGACTTAATTATACTAATATACCTATATGTATGATGACGTCTACTCACCACCCATTGCGCGCGTCTAGCAGCGATTGGTGGGTTGATATCATCCCGATATCAACCAATGAGTAGACCCTTCGGTCATCCCAACAATATCACCATGTCTTGTGATATTATTAAAAGAATATTCAACGTAATATTCTTTATTGTCAGATTGTTTTGATGACAATCTCATGTAACGGGCTACACCGTTACATCACCCCTCCCTTATCTGATAGTCACCGTGTGACTATCGAAAACTTGGTGGCCACCCGTTGGACACCAGTGGGACAGGAAGCACTTATTTGGTCAGACCCATTCACTCATGACCTTGCCTCGCATAGTTAACACTTCTATGCGAGATGATTCGAAGACCACACAGCCTGCTGCTGTGCCGGCCTCTGCGGCAGACGCTTCGTCGTCTGCTGCTTGTTCTCTGTCTGCAGCAGAAGGTGATGCAGACGCACGCGGTATCGCACCACGTGCACATGATCACCTTGGCAATGAGGTCATCAATTATGGCGAGTCAGACGTGCCTGACTCGCGCAACGTTTCAGAGGCATCCGGATCATCTGCGCTGCCTCATCGTTCGTCAAAGGCACTGTCGAACGAGCGGACTCGTGAAATGCATAACAGTCTGTTCGGCAGTGATGATGAACTCTATGGTGAGGACTACTATGCCTCACCAGTATCAACTCGTGCTTCCACGCAAGAGCGTGATGACGATGGCGAGAGCCATCGTCATTCTGTAAGCCGTGGTACCGAAACAGGTACCACATTGAAGCGTGATGAGATCAAGCCGTGGCGCTTGCCCGAGCAGCTCATCAATAGCTTGTCTCATGAGACAAGCCAACACCATCGAATTCCTTTATTCGATGCAACTGAGCTTCATGGCTTAAGTTCCAGCGCGAGTAACTTCCGCGCTGAAGAAGAATTCTATATCGATGCCACCCTTTGGCATCGATCGTATACTGGCAACCAAAAGCGTGACAAGGCCTCGCTTTTGGCAGCGTGGAACGCCTTCGTCCAAAAGTCAAGAATTTTGGACGAGAAGGGTGGCTTAAGAAGCTTGAGGCGATACGCCTCAAGTTTGAAAGGCGAACGCCAACCGGTGCAAGGTACCGGTTGCATAATCTGTCAAGTAAGGCCGGCATTCCATGCGTCACTTGGGGTGATCATTGTGCGAGCTGTACCGACAACTCGCAACGTGCACATAGGGATGTGTATTCCCTAAGTTCGCCCTGGGTAAGGGCACACATCTCGGCTGAGATGAGGGACGCGATTGCAAACTTGCAATCCGTCCACAAGCGCCTAGGGCGCGTGTTTACCGATGGGCCACAGGACTCATCGGATGGGTCTCGTCATACTGGTGGACGAGACCTTCAACGTCAGCCATAAGCTGGAAATGAGGTTCCCAGCTGTCAGAGGAAGGTGGGTACCCACGCCACCGGACGAGGTAACTCGTCCTTGATTTTGAATTGCCACGGTGGTTCAAGATACGCTCCACAAGAAAGCGTTGACCACCGTGGTAATCCACCAGTAGTTCCGGTGGCGGTGGAAAGACAAGGTTCGGCTCAGCCGCCGGGCCTGCACAAGACTTTGGGTAACCACGAGCGTTACCTGACCGAGATAAGGGAAGACGTCGATTACGAAAACGATCGTCGGCACGCTTTGCAGTCGGACGTGCAACTAGTTCGTGCCGATCTGGAGAAGGACCGATCGGCATTTGCGTTCGCTCAGCTTGATAGTGAACGCGAGAGGCGTCGTTTGCGCGACGAGCTAGAGGCGGCTCGTCGCGAGGCCGCGTCGATGAAGGATCAACTGCTTTTGACGAAGGACCAACTTCAGTGTTTGGTCCGTGATCACAAGAATCTGTTGGGGATTCTTGAGCGCGCCGATAATCTCCGATCTCGCAAGAAGCCTCGTACTGATGATACGGGCGGAGACGGCCAACATTAAACGTAGGATGCGTGCGCATCCTGCGAGGCAACTCAATCGTGTATGCATTTCCCTTGCGGTGTAACACACGAAAGGGACCAATGTTTTTTGGCAGTAGTTTACTACTGCCGACATTAGTGACTACATGTCCAGGTAAGTTTACCGTAGACAGTAGCACTAGGTCGTTAACCTTAAATGAAATAACATTTGCTCTCCCATTCTTGTCTACGTTCCGTTTCTGGCGGTCCACCGCATTTGCGATGGAGTCCTGAACGAAACGGACTACCGCCTCTCGAGTCAGCAGGAAGTTCTCTTCTGACTCGTTGTTGTGTTTTCAGTGCGCTTCATGCGCTATGCTAAGAGATCGTTCTCTTCTTCAACGAGGGTGTCCTCTTCCTCGCTGGCGTTGTCGTTGACGATGCTGGGATATTCAGCATCGTCATCATTGTCTGATGTAGCAGCAACGTCATCGCTACTGCTAAGCTCTATTTCCTCGATGTCGACGTTGTCGACATCGGCATCAAACGTATCGGCGTGAGCGGTGATACGTGATGAGCAAGAGCCAAAACGGTTTTTGCTCGAGAGAGCCCCCCCCCCTTAACCCAGAGTCACTCTGTATGAGGGCGGGAATACGTAGGTGGCGTAAGCCATTCACGTAGAACGGTGTATGCGTTGTGGACGCATGAACGGAGTTGTTGATGGCAA